AAGAAGGAAGATCCCCAAACCCCCTTGGCCAGTGCCGGAGAGAATTCGGGCCAGAAGCAGGCTCAGTCTCCGCGCCCCACTACTGAGTCCGGACAGAATCCCCGCCAGTCATCCTCGTCAGAGGTGAAGCATGCTTTTTCTATTACTCATGAAACTCGATAATCCTCGTACTATAAACTCCATCTGTTACATCTACAATTGAACCGAGAAGAAGCAGAACCTGTACATATGTAGTTTTACTATAGATATATTTTAGTCTACCATCGCTATTTACCATGACCTGTACTTAGTTCGCAATGAGCAAAAATGTACAATAAAGGTCTTTCATTCATTCTATTAGCTATGTTTGTGCAATGCGGCTTCGCTACGACTCGCGCATATGTAGGGGGTGATGATAGTCCTTCTCTACAAAGTCAAACGTATATTGCTTGCATTAACATAACAAAGTGATAGCTTGTTGTGTAATATAACATCTGTGTCCATAATATCACCAGGGTCCATAATATCACCACCTTGAGAAATAGTGTGCTTTAAGATATTTTTACTGCAACATACCCTAGGTATGTACATTTGATGTGTGAAGGAGTGCATACCAAAAGTATGTTGCAGTAAAAATATCTTTAAGCACACTTTTTCTCAAGGTGGCGATATTATGTACCCTGGTGATATTATGGACACAGATGTTATATCAGTTTGCTCAGAAGTTTTATCACCATCATCTCTCCCCTGCAGACCATCCCCATCATCCCTGTCCTCGCGCACGTTCGCCCCATCCTGTTGCCGGTTCCAGGCACCAACCAAGCGTCGCTCATCTGGGACGGGAGCCGGAAGGCCCGTAACTTCCTGGCAATGATCATTGCAGCAAGGAGGGCTGCGGGACTCTAAATTCCCAGGATATTTGATTTTTGGGGTTTGGAAAATGGTTTTTGCAGCGCAGTTTGATTTTTTTTAGTTCCTCATGTAAAGCAGCAATAGTGACCCACAACTGGAAACACTTCTTGCAGTTCTAGAACGTCAGAACGTTTCGATTTGGAGGTTTCTGCAAGGGTTTGCAATTTTTTTTTTACAGCGCAGTTTTTTTTTTAGTTCCTCGTGTAAAAGATATGATGGTGACCCACAACTGGAAACATTTCTTACAAATATGCAGTTTTTTACATTCCGATTACGCTACGGATGTAGTCCGGTTATCTTCGGTATTCAATAAGACAAAAACCAAAAAAGAAAAAAAAAGTATTTTTGTCGTCATTTTCATAAACAGAACAGTACTACAAGTAGTTTCAACTTAGATTAGTCTTTCTCTACAAAGTCAAACAAACAGTTTTTTTCATATGTTGCTTGCTGGTCCACTAACAAAACTAAGAAAACAAAGTGCTTGCTGGTCCACTAACAAAACTAAGAAAACAAAGTGCTTGCTGGTCCACTAACAAAACTAACAAAACAAAGTACTTGCTGGTCCACTAACAAAACTAACAAAACAAAGTGATAGCCTGTTGCATAATCAGTTCATGACTTTTTTAGCATCATCTCTTGCACATATATAGACTGTAGTATGCTACATTGTTTTTTATGGTGACACGTAACTACGTCATTGCACATGTATACTAGCTAGTATCCGTTCACTCTTGATTTAGATGTACAGAATTGTCACACCAAGGTTTTAATAATAAAGTTTCAATTTTCCCTCATTTGCCAGTCTGTTTTCGATGTCTTTTCTAGTCTAACACTTAAAATCCTGCGTACGACAAGTTACAAAATTTTATCAAGGTATCTTCAGAACCATCTGGCAGACAACTTGGACGGAGGCGCGACGCTCCCTGGAGCATGCGGTGCTGAGTGAGTGAATGAGTCTTGTTAACGTTGTGCTCACACCTTGCAGTAGGAGTCATAGTCGACAGGAGGCGCGCTTGTATTGCTTGGATCCAGGTCTTTCATACCTGTGACATCCTGCTGCAGCTCAACTGATAGGACAATTGCTGTTGAATGTGTAAGACACAGGAGGAGCGAGTAGAAACAGATAACCACGAACCCACGACCCTCCAGGGCACCGACCGACGCTCTAATCACTCGGCTAAAAGGTATAGACCCATCGGCCGGGACAGTTGGTCGCGCCTATGAACCCCCCACTGTTACAAATGTGTTGTTGGTTGCTCAGTTATCCCTTTATTCCCACTGACTCCCATAAGGCAGTAGACGTGCATATAAGGCCATGTTGATTTGATTATATGGATGACATCCGCGCGCGCATGAATTTTCGGCCGTTTCAAAAAAAAAAGTTTTCAACCATACTGTAAATCGTACAAAACAGTTGCAAAATGAGCAAAAATATACCGTAAGTTACAAAACAAACCATACCAATGTCGTAGAATGCCAAAATCGAACGAAAAAAGACGAAATTGTAAAGAAATGAACTTGAAGACTAGATTATTCGCCAAACCATATTCTGTGCCATTTGCTCAACCCTCATGACCACGTAGATTTCATAATGAAAACAACTTTTTTTTTTGCAAAACTTTTTTTTATTCGCACGCGCGCATTAATTTTGGGGTTCCCGGAGGATGTCATCCATATAATCAAATCAACATGGCCTTATTCAATAAAATGGCCATTTGACAGGTCTTTGCTGAGCATTAATTCGATTAAAAGGAGGACCAATCAAATCAGCGGATTTCGTCTGATAACGAGGCTACAAAATATGCAAACATTAAGTCCAGGTGCCGCATTACGTCATGCGAGGTAGTTACGTAATCCTCCAGGCGAACTGAGTAGATATGCTGGGTTTAATATAGGCAGGAATGGGTGTAAACATTGGCGTTTAAAGTAAAAATAGCACAAGCACTTACAGAACTAGTTGTTGCAATATTTTCTATATGATCCATTCTTCACGTTTAGGTGTTTTCTGGACGGTTAGAACTGATAATAAGAACAAAATCAAGGAAAATATGTTCAGCAACGAAAAATGAAACAAACATCAATAAAACGTATAAATGCATAAACTTTTCGTTCCAGTTTTTCCACCAAACCCTTTCTAGAAGTGTAATAATTCATACCTGAGGTGTCCAGAAGAATCTTTCCACTGGCGAACGTGCACCCTACGAAGTTTACTCCCTCACGCTTACCTTTAGCATCCACAGGCGCCATAATGCCAATTCATCACACGTGTCAATGATGGCCCCTAGCAGTTAACGGAATTACTGCAGGCACTTGAGGGGATTTTTTACATGCAATAATTTCACCGACTGTCGCTTTTGATCCATGGCGCAGACGGTCATTAACCGATGTATCCTTGATGCTGATTGGTTCTCGTCATGTCTATGTGTTTGAGTCGTCGAGCCCGATTGGATAATAAAGGGAAACAATAATGATGACGTGACCTCTTTGACCAAATATGGACAACAGACTCAAAACTATAAAGCCTTTTTATTTTTCATGTAAACAACTGAAGTTACGATGGATTTTCGGGCGAACGGGACTATTTGGGGCCGTCATTTTCCCCCAGATAAGCTACAGAGTCGTAAGAACCGTCTCTACAGAAAAAAGGATCCGATTTATGAGGTTAGGGCAGGTGAAAATGCTCGGCAACCGCGTAATATTCTTACGAACAGTGGAGGGGACGTTGTGTAGGGATAGCTTTCAGCACCAAGGACAGGGATAGCGTTAGTTTGAACCTGGTCTTTTCTTAATGGCAACAAACTGAATATTTACACACCGATTGCAATATACGAAGGAAATCAATTTGTGAATTTTTCAGTGTCAATCTCAATATCATATGGATGGAGACAGCCTCTGCCAGCCGTATAATTATGGCAAATCTTATCCCCAAACAGTTACGATTTTGCCTTACACCATATGCTTATAAATGAGGTCGACACGGAAAAATCCTCTGCAAAGACTGTGACCGGTCGAATACCATTCGCGAACGCGCTCGAAAATTGCTACAGTGGCAGAAACACCACAGGTGTTCACTTGACTTATATAAATAGTATAACTTAACCATTTTTAGCCGGAAAGTATCTGAAAAGTCCAAAAATAAGTCATTTTCACGTTGTTAATGGCATAAGCGTTAAAAACGTACTGTGGGTTGATGTCCAAGGTACGCCCACATAACTTGCTACACAAGGCCCTATAGGTAGCCTGAATAAATTCCTGATTCTGGGAAGTAAACAATGAGTTTTTACACAAACAATTAGCCTTAAAATCGGAGTTTAAAGGCGGATAACTTCCTAAAAATGCAGAATATCGGCAAAAAATCTATTGTGTTGTGATTAATGTGGCATGTTAAATTTTGTCTACAAACCAATTTTCACCTAGAATTATTGATGTTTGATATTTTTTCCTGGCCCTTTGGATTTAGTCCCAAGGCACAGGTACATTTTGATGACATCATTTGGTCACGTGATTACACTGAGAAAGCTACTCATACAGACTTGCTATCATACATCAAAATAAACTTTGGTTATTGCAGATTCAAAAAATCTATGGTAGCACTGGTCCGTCTCGGTGTACTAAAAACGGTCTCGTTCCACTGCTACACTAAACTTCCCCATTTCTGCCTTAAATCTTCAACTGTACACTATAGAAACACATGAGGTGGGAGTAGACAGACACACTGGCCCCAGGAATGGAACCCAGGGCGCCAGCTTATGAAGTCATCACTCTAACCATTATAAAACTATGCCTTATTAAAAAATATAATTTGGAATGGAACACATTTTGGAATGCCACATGCCGAACCCCAACATTACATCCTGAAGCAAAAAAGATTCAAAACACCATCGCAACACTTCTTCAGTACACCCATAAACTTTTATTTCTTCAAACAACACTCAATGGCTCAACGTTGTACATGTAACTGAAGATGTTCTACTTAGATGTACTCTGCTTGTTCTAAGATTTTTCTGTACTTGTAACTGAAGATGTTCTGATTAGATGTACTCTGCTTGTACTAAGATATTTCTGTACTTGTACTACGTTGCAGGTTCTGTTCTTTTGTGAAAATCCATACCAGTCCAGTTCGTGACAAAACATATTTTACTGTACAATGTGTTTTTGCTTTTATAATTCAAATTCACTAAAAGTTTCTCACTACATATATCCATGTGTAATACTTCAGATAAATCCAGACTCTATACGCAGGTTACACTATTTGATGTGACAAAATTTCAAAGCTGAAGCACAGAACACACACTGTTCTGATACGCCTTGCTTTTTTTTTTCCTCTCCTATTTGCGGTACCATTTGGTGAGGGTCTTTGTTCTCTTGATTTTCTTCTGCAGTTGGAGGATGCCGTACAGTAATGCCTCCGCAGTTGGGGGGCAGCCTGGAATGAGATGACACAGAATATTGGCTTGAAAGTTCATTGGTAGAAATCAACATAGTGCACCAAAATTGGAGCTGTGCACCCAATTTTTTCTGTGGGTGCACCAGTGCACCCAAATATTTGTAATTTTGTACATATCAAATGTATAATAGTATACAGGATATTCTTGGAATTTAAGTGTCAGAAAAATAATAAAATCTTTGTTGTAGTACTTCTGTAAGATTTTGATGTTAGCTCACATTTCAGATTCAAGCTTAGAAGAAGATCAGTAAGATCTGTAATTAGCTTTTGTTTTAAATGGTGCACCTGAAACAACAAATCAAATTGGTGTAGCCTAAAGTTATAATTATCATCACATTAGAGACACAGAGCTGTCGACTCCTACCGGGTACATAGATGTCCACAGGTACGATCCTGTCACAGCCCCTGACGACGGAGTAGGAGTAGTGATAGTAACCTCCTCCGTTAGCACAGCTGCCCATAGACACCACATAGCGAGGCTCTGGCATCTGGTCATACACCTGTGAAAATACAATGCCAATCAGTCAGTCAGGTGTAACCGGCGTAATGGCGAAGTGTACTTAGACCGCTCGTCTTGCATTCGGTAGGTCGTGAGTTCGATCCCCGGCCGAGTCATACCAAAAGACTTGCTTTCTCTGCTTAGCACTCAGCATTTGAGAAAGAACTTATGGGAGTTAAACACACACCACTACCAACTTGGACTAACCCCCTGCTGTAGTGATAGCACAAATGTGTGGCCCAAGGGCAACAAAACGGTGATGGGCACTGCCATACGCTACCATGCAAATGGTTTTGGGGAGAACTTTAACTTAACTAACTAATATGGTGTCCTACGAAAAAGGGGTGATCTTGAAAACAAGGCTTGTGATGTGTGAGTGGATAGTTGTTTATATTTTTAAAATCAATTTTCTGCCTTAACATTTAATTTTTCCTCCTGCTTTGAGCCCCAAAATAACCTTCAGCTATTATCCCATATTGGACTCCATACTTAAGGTGGGCATCATTCACATCATCCCCACACAAGGGTCTGCATGGAGGGGCACTAATCAGTTACTCAATTATAAATTTCTTGCAAATTATAAATTTGTACAAAGTCTTTACCAAAAAAATTGTACAAAGTCACAAAGTTTGTATGAATAAAAATGTGGTCTTTCAGAAAATAATACTGAGCTCTGCTCTTGAGACTGAGGAAGTGAGTTCACCCTTTGTTACTGGGCAATATATCCAATTAGGTCTTGTCACAACATGCTCTCAGCCTGCATGCTTTCTGCCCTGGGGCTGTTGAAAGTACGTCAGACCATCTCTTTGGTTGTGCCGACAACGAAAACTCTAAACACAGTAATACACTTTATGTTCACGGTAGCAAAATTTCACGGTCGGAGAAAAATGGAGGTGTTCAAGGAACCATATGTTCACAGTGGCGGCAGGTGAAGGAAAAAGAAAGTCAGCCACTGATAATTTTAGCTGTAATGATAAGTTTGCAGTACAGAAGTGACCGTGAAAACCATGAACATGAAAGCACCGTGGAAAAAACAGGACTTATAGTACGTCCCCAGGGTTTGAAATCTCTCATTTCCTGTTATCGGTTTTGTTGTTGGGTACATTTTGATTTGTAAAGCATAGTTATAAATACAGATCTGTATGATTATCTGTATGGAACAGCTTGCCATATACACTGTACAAACAAACTCTGGCTGGACCTAGTTGTATATACGAGGACCTGTTTGTGTAAATTTGTAAATACATTTAGGCCACAGCAAGTAATTTTCATGGATGACATCAACGCGCGCATTGATTTTCGCCTGATTTTGAAAAAAAAAAAAATTTGTTGGCCTCTGACAGTGTTTAACATGCCGAAAATGGGCAAAGATGTCTGTTGCCATGCCGGAAGGTGGATGGCAAGGAAGAGAGGAGACAAGAAAAGGCTCTGATTTAATGTTTTGTTTCTTACTTTGATGCAGCGATATGTGATGCTGGCTGTGTATATGTGATGTTTCCACTGAATCAAAACCATTTGTACCACAATTGAGTCAACATTAATTTTACATTGTAGGAACCTTGTTTTTTTCGGCACGCCTTGTTTTTTTTTGCCCGCTCGCATTAGATTTGAAATCTGCGGAGGATGTCATCCATAAAATTTACTTGCTGTGGCCTTAGCTGTAATACATGTACAACTGTTATTTGTTGTATAGATATGGTTCTTTTAAAATCCCATAAAGATTAGTGCATCAGTGCAGGTGTGCAGAAAAAAAAGGATTTCAACAATAACCGAGTATCCAAATACAAGTACTAGCTCCTCAGACCCCACCTTTCGTAGCGCAGGCGCCATCTTGTTTGTGAGCGTGCCGGCCACGATCATGACGTCAGCCTGACGGGGACTGGCGCGGAACACCACGCCGAATCTGTCCATGTCGTACCGCGGAGCCGCCATGTGCATCATCTCCACCGCACAGCACGCCAGGCCAAAGGTCATAGGCCAAAGGGAGCTCTGCAGAAGACATTAGTCAAAGTTAGTGCGGTGTACCGGTTCACTGGACTTGGATCCGGACTTGTAAGAATGTTTAGGTTCAAGTCCAAAAAAACCTAAAAGTCAAGAACCGAGTCCGGACTTATTACCACAAAAGACCATTTTACATACCCCTTTTCTTTCCAAACCACCTAAAACCTTCCGTAGATTGCAAAATGAAGAAAACATTGCCATTGGGCATCGTCAAGTGGTGGCCTCCATGTTATGTGGCCAAAGTTTTGCCCATACAACATTGCAAGGTTGCCAACATGCAATTTTGTATATGTCATGGGTTTAGGTCCGGTCTTACGAGTCCAGAACTAAACCTAAACCTCTGGACTTGAATCCGTACCTGAACCTAAATGTGGGTTTAGGTACACAGCACTAGTCAACGTGCAGTCAGATATTGTTCAAGAAAACACTGTTTTTGTTAAGCAGTTATAAATTACTTTTACCTATATCCAGTTTACTAGGCGTACCTGATGTCTGATTAAAGGTTTTTTAGCTGTGTGAAGTCAGTTATTAGCTGTATACTGATAACACTGATAATTCTATATCCGTATTTCAAACTTTGTCTGTAGTTTGAAGATTTTATATGCTCCTAAGATCAGTTTAATCGGAAAAATGGGAGGTAACTCTAAGACGCCGAGACGGAAAAGCCCTACAACGAAATTCTGGAACACCAATTTGGGACAGCTGCCATCGGACGAGTCCCTCTCTTCCGACTTCGAAGACCAAGGAAAGACGCGGCTATGCGGGGTGAAACTGAGATCGAACCGATTGGAGAAGTGGATCGGAGCTCACAAGGATACCTTTGGCGAATCGTTTGAGAGAACCAAGAAAACCGTCGTCACATGGAAAGACACGCCCGGCACCTCATGCATGGCAATCCAGACCGCCTCAACGACAAACAAAGGTAAACGGCTTCTGTCTGTACATTTCTACCATAAGAAACAAGGTTTGATGGTTCAAGGACAGTACACAAAATGGTGGATGGATAAGCTGTATCCCGAGCTTGTAAAGAACATTAACTCACAGGTAGACATGCAAACAAGGTCAACTATCAAAGATGGCGCCCAACGCGTCCTTGACGCCATAGACAGTTTTCCAGCTACAGAACTCGAGCCGACAACACCCATGCAGGATTCTCACAATCCTCACAACAATGGTGATGAAACACCAACTATGGTAAAACCTTTCATTCCCAGAACACTGCAAGGTCTTGAAACCCATGAACAGATGTCGAGTAACTTTGAAAATGGCGCGCGTCCTGACGAAGAAATCCAACCCCGGGGGGTCGCTATCACCCCAGTCAGTACACCGATTGTGAACGTGGCTCCGACAACACCTTTTGAGAAGGACCCAGCAGCTACACCTAAATCAAGCCGAGCAATACCTTCTGCAGTACCGCTAGGAGAGCGCTTAGAATCTATCGAAAAGTCCGTGAAAACCAACGAAACTGCCTTTGACGATCTGCAGAAACAATTCGTGGACACGGTTGGTTTGCACAACGCGCTGAAGGACGACTTGATGTCAAACCTCGAATCTAAGGAAAGAGAAAGAGAAGAAGCCTGCACGCAAACTATGAAACGTCTAACTATGCAAGTTGAAGCTACCCAAAAGTCACTTGAAGCACACATCAAAAGTGCCATCAGAAATCTACAGAATGATCTCCATAATGCCCAAAAAGACTTAGCTTCGCAAAGGGCAGAGCTTAAAAAGGAGAGACAAGAGTTATCACAAGAAGCTCTGATTGATAGACAACTCTTGAGGGAAAGAATTCATGACATGTCCGTCAAAGTCGACACTATGGCTGCTTCAAATGCCGAACTACAAGAAACCATCAAGATACAAGATGCAGAGATACAGTTCCTTTCCGATATAAAGATTTGGAGACAAAGCTCGAATCTTGCCAGTGTCGTACAATCGCTAAAGACAACACACAACCAGGAATTAATCAAAAGAAACCTCCGCATAACAAAGCTACTGATTGTAACACTTCCTCGACTGCTATCCATCACAACAGGGGCACTGTCGCTAATCAAGGGAACAATGCACCTTCCGCGGGCACCACTCACGATAACAAGAGTCGCGCACCTATCAACACCACACGAACTGTGAACGACGCCAAAATCGCACCTTCTGGTATTGTTAACCAGAACTCCGACTTGCCCTCGCCAGTCAGCGGCGCCAAAGAGTCTCCCGGTAACAATGACAGCTTTGAAGTACGTATTTTTGCCGACTCCATCTTCAGAGATGTTGACGTTCAGCGTGCCTTTCGGGATAAACCCACTAAGATGTACAGGAACAGCACGGTTGTGTCAGCTACTGCCAGTGTAAAACTCATGAAGGATCCATCAACCAAACTCGTCATACTACATGTCGGCTCTAATGACCTAGACAATAGTAGACACAGAAAGGACTCCGTAAGTGAAACTGTGAAAAACACACAAAAACTGATGGATGCGACAAAGGTAGCATTTCCGAATGCACAAGTAGCAGTTTCCCAAGTCCTACAAAGAGGGCCAAACAGCAACACCACTCTCAACCTGAACATCAAGGAGTACAACCAAGAAATTCTGAAACTATCACGCAACGGCAACTTCACCTACATAAAACATAGAAAACTCACACAGGACCGACGCCTGTATCTGCCTGACCAGATTCACATTGACCCCAGAAGCGGCACAAAGCTGCTTGTGTCAGACGTCATCCGTACACTGAATCAAGTACCTGGCCTTTAAAACAGCGAGACAACAGCCCGCTTGGACAAACTCACAGTCCAACAGACATGTACCCAACCAGTACGCCCCGTGGAAGTGGCAACCCCGGCCTATGGGCACGCACAACACACCCACTCACGATCGGGGGATGATCAGAGGACAACAGAGTGGCACTAGCCCCGTTCCAGTCAACAGGAGAAGGAGTCAACTGCCAGCCTTGAACCCGACACGCCAACCGTCCAGCATTGACCAGACTCCGAGCACCACAACAGTCGCAAGACCTGCCTGGCTACCGACAGCAAACATCCCACATCACGTCAAACAGTGGAAACAACTAGGAAAGCGACTACGGAAAGTCTGGGACATTCTTGTACCATAGATACTACACGGTTATCAAGGTAATACTATCCTTGTGTTTCAAATGATGCCTGACAATCACGTAAGGGAGTCTACATAGTTTATAACACGTGTTTATTACTATTAGTTAAGTTTTATCCCTCTTGACAAGAGCAAGGACTTTACATAGGAAGGTCCTTGACAAATAACACTGTATAGTATACTTTAGCTTTATTCTTATATGATTTTCATATACTAGCAACGTGCTTCATACAGCTGTAAAAAAAAACCTTCAATACATTAGAGGAGATGAGGAAAAAATCAGCCTTAGTTTTTTCCACTTGGAATATTCAAGGTAGTTGTAGTAAAAAGTTCAATGATGTAGAATTTTGTTCTTATTTTAAAAATAGTGATTTTATATGTGTGCAAGAAACCTGGGCAGACAACTATGTACAACTCGATATACCAGGTTATAGTCTGTTTAGTAGCAATAGAAATAGAAGTAGAAGGGCAAAGCGAAACTCGGGTGGGGTAGCCACTATTTTCAAAAGCGCGTACAGAAAGGGGATTCAAAAATTAGAAAGTGATTCAACTGACTGTATTTGGTGCAAACTTGACAAAAATTTTTTCGGTCTTGAAAATGACTTATTTCTTTGTAACGTATACATTCCCCCTGAATTCTCTAAGTCGTCGCAGCATGATCCATTTGATATACTATCTAAGGAAATTTGCAAATTTTCTAATCTTGGTGACATAGTAATACTAGGCGATCTAAATGCGAGAACAGGACGGCTTACAGAAGCATATTTTGATCTAGACACCTCCAATGAGTCCAAAACAAACATACCTTTTGATATAAAAAACAGAAACAATAAGGATTGTAAAGTGAACAATTATGGAAATTGTCTTATAGAATTGTGCTCTTCAGCAGATTTAGCCATTTTGAATGGCAGATTTGCCGGGGACCTCAAAGGTGATTTTACTTGTTATCATTATAATGGTTCAAGTGTTGTCGACTTCTGCATTACTCAAAGGCCCTTGCTAAATCATATTCAATATATGAATGTCAGCTCCATATCACCGTTCTCCGATCACTGTCATATCTCCTTTTCCATGTCGACAAAGTACTCTCCCCTTGTCTTGAAAGATAGTAGTCATGTAAACCCAAAGCCAGTGCAATATCTCTGGAATGACGAATCAAAAGAATTATTTTTAAATACTTTGAATAATAACGATACACGTTCTAAACTGAGTGATTTCTGCCAGAAAAAATTACTTCAGCGGAAAACGCCGTTACAAGTTTTACAGAAATTCTACTGGAGGTTTCAAAAAGATTTTTAAAGATAAAACGCCATAGACAAACACAAAACAACAAAACTGTTCATGTTAAAAAAAACAAACCATGGTTTGATCAACATTGTTGGTCCCTACGTCAACGATTAAAAAGACAATCGTCTATTTTGAAAAAAGATCCTTGGGCACAAGATAATAGATCAAGATATTTTAGTACTCTGAAAGAATACAAAAAAGTGATAAAACAACAGAAACGTTATTATAAGATTGAGCTTTTGAAGAAATTGGAATCATTGAATGAGAAAAACCCTAAAGAATTTTGGTCATTACTAAATTGCCTAGACACGGAAGTAAGCGGAAAAACAATAAGAGCTCTGTAGATCCCACCATTACAGCTGAACAATGGATAAACCATTTCCAAGACTTAAACAACCTAGTGAGAAATACAAGTTTTGACACTGCCTTTGAAAAAACGGTCTGTGATCATTTAGAATATTCACACGACTGCACACCAAATTTATTAGACTTTCGTTTCACCCCACAAGAAGTTTTAAACGGTTTAAGATCACTGAAATCTGGAAAGGCATGCGGCATAGACTCCATTTCAAATGAGATGTTAAAACATGGGTCAGCACAGCTATGCCAATCACTGGTAACATTATTCAATACAATTCTATCAAACGGCAAGTTCCATCTAACTGGAATACAAGTATTCTCACTCCAATTTTCAAATCAGGCGACAAATCTAATGCTGACAACTACAGAGGAATCGCCATCTCAAGCTGTTTATCAAAATTATTTACTCTATTATTGAATACTAGACTACAAAACTTTGTCGAAGATAAAGGCATACTAAATGATACACAGTTTTGGATTTAGAAAAAAGTGCAGAACCTCAGACAATGTATTTATCCTTAAATCTCTCATTGACAAATACACACAAAAAAAGAAGGTAAATTAATTCGTTTGTTTCGTCGACATGAAGAAGGCTTTTGACAGTGTTTGGCGTGATGGTTTATTCTACAAACTGTCGCATTATGGTATAGGTGGAAATTTTTTCAATGTGTTGCGGTCTATGTACCTTGATGTTAATTATGCTGTTAGACTACAACACGGATTGTCGAATCCTTTTGTTTCCACATGTGGGGTAAGACAGGGGTGCAATCTTAGTCCTTTATTATTCAACCTTTTCATTAATGCCACCTGCCTTCATGTTTTGATCCAAACAAATGTGACGCTGCAACTTTAACTTCTACATCACTTAACTGTTTATCTTGGGCGGACGACCTCGCCCTAATCTCACTGTCTAAAGAAGGTCTACAGAACTGTATAAACAATTTAGAAACATACTGCAATAGATGGAAATTGAGTGTCAATGTAACTAAAACCAAAGTTCTTATATTCGCGAAGGGAATACCAAACAAACGTCTAAATAGATTCTATATATATGGAAAGGAAATTGAAGTTACCGACAGCTACACTTATCTCGGTATACCTTTCACGTCTTCGGGCAAATTTAAAACCGCCAGAAAATATTTAAAAACTAAAGCAATGAGAGCGTTATTCAAACTTAAATCCCTTTTGTTTTCTGAAATTAACATTTCAATTCAATTAGCAAAAAGCCTTTTCAACAAATTTGTGAAGCCGATTTTTCTATATGGATCCGAATTAACCTGTTTCGACCAAACATCTAAAACACTAAAACTTAATGTTTCTACGCGTATTCCAGAATCCACACCAAAAAACGTTTTCTCCGCTGTATTAGAGAAACTTAGTCTTGATGAAAACATTCCTGCTTCGGTTAGAAAGAGTTTAAGCTCCACTTGTGCCCATACATATGTGATCCATTTTGAAAGAAGGACAGATAAGGACATGTTTTTTAATCTAGCGTCTCGGCTAAAATTAGAAAACGACAACTTTTCAATTGAAAATATACATCTTTCTCAACATATTCCAGAATTTGATGCCATCGATATGAACTTTCAAAAATTTTTACTTAGAGTTAATACAAAAGCATCAAATGATGGTGTTCGTGGAGAACTAGGAACCTTTCCAATAATAATAGATACTGAAATACAATTAATAAAATACTGGCATCGTCTTGTAAACTTGCCCGAAGACACCTTACTTCGTGAAGCATACGATGTTTTATATTCTGGCAAACACGATTGGCTTAACCACGTAAACGACATTCTGAATTACAATGGTCTTGGACAATTCTGGACGAACCCCGGGTCATACCAAGTGGATACGATAACCAATCAATTACGATCCCGCCTTCAAGATATATATATACAAAAATGGTATAATTCTATTAGTAACAACGCAAAACTTTCTGTTTATACCGCATTAAAGGAAAACTATGGACAAAAACAATACCTCTCAAGTATACACAATCTAGATATCCGAAAAGCGATCACAAAACTAAGAATTAGTTGTCATAAATTAAACATAGAAATAGGTCGATACAAGAAAATACCAAATGACCAAAGGTTCTGTCCATTTTGTCCAAACTTGATCGAAAATGAGCACCATTTTATAATGGATTGTACACTATACAATGATAAGCGCCGATTGCTGTTCACCTTTCTTTCCGCTTGTTCAATTGATTTCAATATATTAGATCCTATACATAAATGCAACTACATTCTAAGGGGAGATAACCAATACAGTGTTCAAATAGGAAAATACACTAAAGAATGTTTTGATCTTAGAGAACACATGTTAGAGAATAGTTAACCTTTATTGTTACATCATACATGTACTCTGTACGTAAGATGACGTTATCCGCACATGTATTTAGCTTTGTTAGATCTTTAGTTAAGTTGTAGAAGACCATACAAAAGTCTCTGTACTTTTTTGTTGTGTCAATAAAGAATCTCTTTATAAGTATTGTGTGACAAAACACCACCTAGTGAGTGGAAAAGGAACTGCACTGCTAGTTTTACACACAGTCTAGGGAATTGTAATAATAACTAGAGAAGTAACATTTGCAAAGCAAATGCATAATGTTTACCTTCGGACATGATCTGCTCTGTTAATTCTTACTCAAACACATTCACATACATGTACTACTAGTATATGGTGATAGAAGCAGAACAGACCATGAAATTGCAACATTATGTAACCCAACACCAGTCACCATGGTGACAGATGTCAACAAATCATGTTATTGGTCAGGTCAGAGGTTACTGTTTGGAGAAGAAGAAGAGGAAGAAACTGAGTAAAAACAATATGTTTTCCTTCGGTAAACATAAAAACGAATTTTGAGCCCTGCACTGGATGAACTTAACATTATGGAAAGAAACAGCATGAGTCTGACTGACCCTGCGAGCCCAGTTGACCAGATCGTCCAGCCTGGCCACCACAAACTCGGCATCGCTGGGTTTGGGAGCCGGGGTGACCGCACCCGTGTCTTCTGTTGGCACCAGGCGTATTCTGACAACAAAATCATCATGTTATAATCCATATGTTAACAACTTAGCCCATCATAAATGACAGACTTCCACACCTTACTTATCCTGCTTTGAAACTATTCCAGTTGAACAGGCAGAGATAGTAGCATTCAGGCTGTGTGGTATTGTTGCATTTTGTATAGGTTAATTGCTCACACAAACACACAGACATACACGCACACACACACACACACAAACAGGATATATAAAGAATGGAGTTTTCATTCTTACTTTGTTGATTTTAATCAACAATGAAGTTTTCATTTTTACTTTGTTTATTTTAATCTGTTTCCAAAATCATATCCAGTTGCTTGAGTAACTGTTTTTTGGCATATCTTATTACCTTGATGTCTAACCTTTTTGCACATAAATTTTTCAAATTGCACCTAAAATTCTTGCCAATGTGCAATTTTGCACATACCAGAAAACAAGTATTTTGAGCCCTGAGTAGTAACCATGAAAAACTACTGCCGTACCTGCTCTGTGCCTGGTCAGACTTGCTGTCATGAACAGTTCTGATGGCCTGGCAGGCTGTGGGCACGTGTCTGGAACAAAACACAACATCCGTCACGATTTCCATAGCAAATCATGGAATTTTAAAAGCAAAGTTCTTTTAAGAACTTTGCTTTTAAAATTCCATGATTTGCTATGTTGTGAATAATTAAAATTATTCACAACCACTTGTTTAACAATAGCTGACGTTTTAGTGACCTGTCATCTTCATCAGGGAAAGTAATGCTACTTACAAGTAAGGATGTTGTGAATAATGTATACACAACCTGCCTATAGTAACCACTGAACGGACTTGAATTATATCATTCACTATATACCACTACCAGTACCACTAGGCACTAGCCGACTGCTGCCGACTTGTGGAAGGGACAACAGCAGCAGTATAATCTAACCCTGGATAGTGAGTGAGTGTGATGTACTGGAATTCTTACTACTTGACTCAAAGGGAAAAACAATTTATATACAGTGAGTGACCACTAAAAAGTGGCAACAATTATCATGCATATGGCCAGGTGGTCCTTATGTAAAGGTGGTCACTGTACACACGTTGACTGTAATTACTTTTATTAATTACATGTACTACTATTCGCTATACTTACATGTATATTACTAAATTATATAACTTATAATAATAGTTACAAGGGAAATCGTAGATTTCAAACCTCCGGGTTTTTTTGTGTTCTATTGGTTTAGGTTATTTGTTTGTGTGTAGTATGAAAGTTATGTGCGTAATATGTTTGTATGTGTTTGATGGCTACTGACGGTTGGTTCGGTATGGACTGTTGATTAACGTGTCTCACAGTCTGACAGCCTGCACCGTCACCCGCGCCATTACCCCCGCTGTCATCCCGCGCCGTCATTGCTGCGCCGTCACCCAAAATTTTTATCGGAACCAGACACCCCTCTGTTTGACCCCTTTTGAATGCTAAGACCCAAAACTGCAACCGCCCCATTCCTTAACAACATGGTAATTACCATTTTCAGCATGGCGGGGGTGTCCGGAGCACTTAAAAACCTTTTATTTCGACGCCCATAAACACATATGCAATTAAACAAAAACGTTCTGCATCATCTGCAGCCCAATAGCAATACGTATACCGAACCACAGACAAATCCGTCCAGCCGATCGCGAGAAACAGCTGCTGACAGAAATGTTTCGAACCATAGTAAAACCTCCTCGCGGAAGGATATCTCCTTCCCCGGAGGTAATAATATATACTAATATCTATCTATCTATTCATTCATACTGGCATAAATGGAAAAATAGTATAGTAAAAAAACAGTTTGAAAATGGAAAATGCCAAAGTTGTCCACACTTAGCTAGTAACAGTTGATAACATGTTTTTACCTTTGGAGAACTGCTAGGTTTCCAAAGACACCAGGCCGCAGGACTGTTGGTAAAGAAAAACATGGGTTATCCCAACATGTACTGACTCTATAGTATACTACATGTACTACTAGTGCATAATTTTTTCCCCGTACGGCCAAGCTTTGGAATTCCTTCCCTGACAAGTGTTTCCCACCAACCTACAATCTACAGGCTTTCAAATCAAACATTCACCGCCATCTTTTGACTGTCTCTAACCGCACCTAACCTGCATCTGCAGATTTAATGCATTCATAGAAGTACCGGTATGTACACTTGTATTTGTGCATATTGACTATAGTACCACTTACAATAGTTACATCTTAAATTATGTGGATAGAAATAATGGCGATGTTTTATGTCATTTTTTTTAGTATGATCCATACTTCCTAAATTCTGAGCTGTAGTTTCAATGTTACCTGCACTGGTTCGGGTGCGTGGAAAAAATGTAAAATTATATATTTTCGAGCCCTGATATATGTGTAGAACCAAAAATGTCTATAAAACGTCTAACGGACATTAGACATGATTTAGACATTGCTGAACAAAGGCCAGTCGGGAGAACATTAAGTAGACATAGTTACTGAAAAACAACATCGAAATAACCCAAGGTGGACATTTCATATCCATAGTCTCTTCACACGTCAGGTAGGGACACCCCTAGGAGACAGTCCTTTGTTTAGCACAATGCACACTTATAAAGATATTAGCATCTGTCTATTAATTAATGGTGTCCTCCCCTATAAATTGTCTTGGCTTTGTGCAGTGCTTTTCATATGCATGCCAGTTTTCACACTTTTTTTCTAAAGACATTCTAACAGACGCCTCATGAACAATGGAAAACACAACAAGCAAGTCCTCCCCAAAAAGACCCTGTAAAGACCTGGGAAAGACATTCTTACAAAATATGTTTAAAAAATATGCAGAACTTTCGAGAATGTTAAATGTCCGTTAGACGTTTTATAGACATTTCTGGCTCTACATGTACATAACAGCACTAACAACTTTTTACTTACACAAATTTATTTTCATATCTTTATCTATAATTTGTTTGTTACAATAGAGAATTACAGACAGACAAATGAATTGCTTATTTTTAACCTATGGATAACCTACTATCTACTTTTTCACATGTAAAAGATCGCACCAAGGACCCGTTACGTTATACGTTACAAAATAATATATAATAGTACGTAGTTTGTTCTTGACCCTAGCCGGTGTCCCAGTAAACATTCAACTATTTGGTGGATAACGCATAAGTTACATCACATCCCCTACCATCAACGGTTAAATATGACCTCAAAGATCAGTCTGGGTTACAAATATACACACGATGATCAAAGAAAGAGGAGAAAAGTGAGAAAGTTTGCGAAGCTGCGTAGTACTTACATCCTAACGCCGCCATGTTGGATCTCTGTGACCTCTGCAGAGGTCATGTGATCAAAATTTATATAATTTCTTTTCATAATCTTTACGATTCGCTATTACCACAAATAACATGATTCGTAACAATAAGCTATTATAAAGTATTGAATTTGGATGGGATTGGTGTTTTCTGTCATTTTCTTTTGCAAAATATGCTTATGTCTAACCTTTGACCCTTAATCAAACAATGGTGGACTTGTGTCAGTCCGAAGTTTGTTTCCTCAAATTCCTGACTGAAAAGATCGCCCAACTTTCGCCTGAACGGCCCCTTCTCGTCAGATTTCACCATAATATCAAATATTCATAATCTCTACATTTCAGAGGTACGTCTTTCATTACTCTTGGTGTCCCAGAGCTTGCCGGAATCTTTCTGTTTTGATGACAAGTCCACGTTATTTGGGACACAAATTTTGGTCTGGTACGTTTTTGTGTGGGAGGGGTGTGATCGTGCAACCTGTTTCATGTTGCGTCATCAGAAACGAAAAGACAAGTTTCACAAGATTTATTTACATATAGTGAAGTTCATTGAGAAATAGCTGGATTGTCTTACCATATGAAATAATTTGCCCACTTTTCCACCGTTCACAATTTATAAAACCAGCTGCCAATTACTCTCCAAGCAGAGGTTTGCATTTGGGGTTACTTTTGGCATGTTTTTGGGCTTTTTTATCGGGGTTTCTCTTTTGCACTGAATTTTTTCCTCTTTTTTTGGTGGGAAAAAAATTCAGTGCAAAAGAGAAACCCAGATTAAAAAAAACCTCTGCTTGGAGAGTAGCTGCCAATGACAACTAGCATTTAGATTTTAGGTTTCACAAATTAGTTCAATGGTTTTCCATGAGGCATACCGAGCCATTTAGCCATTTTAAATCAATGATAACTGTAACTGACCGCTTCAATTTAACATTACGCATTGTCGGGAAATTATTTGGTCAATTTAAATTTTAATTCCATGTAGCACATTTATTTATTTTAATTTATTTACTTATTATTATTATCCTGAATTCATCATTAAGCGCTAATGAAAAATTCTTCTTATTTTTGTATCTGAATAGTAGTAGGCATTTCAGTGGCAATCAAGAGACCTCAGACCTCTATGATCTTGTGTGATAGTCATTTTGCCCCCTTCTCTTTTACCATGGTGTCTACAGGTCTGTCCTTATTGTGCAAAGAAAAACATGTACAACAGCAGCTGTCAAGGAGTTCATGTTTTGAAAAAAACACACCGGTGAAAACATCAAAAGCTATGATATGTAGATGTGATTAGTGACTTTAGGACTTCATTTTTGATGGAGGTACATGTAAAACTACCCCTGTGTCTGCATTGTAGCTATGAAAGATTTATAAAATGTTTTTTGTGTCTCCTCCAGCCAGAAGGTTGGCCCCATGGATGACTCCCCCCCAACCTGCAGCAGTTCCACTGCCAGAGAGGAGGAACGTCTGGAGAAGGTCCTCCGGGAGGGAACCTTCCGAGACTCCCTAGTGATGGCCAAGGTGATCGACACCCATCCATCAAGTGACAGCGACAGTGATGAGGCAACTCCTGCCTCCAACAACAGAGCTCGGCGTGAAGGCAATAGGCCACAACGTGAGCAAAACGACAACACTGATGAAAAACCAAGATTATCGGGATCTGCAGACAGTCAGAAGACATCTGATGAAGGAGACAAGGTGGTGACGAGTGACCGAGATAGATCAGAAGGGGATGCTTCTGTTGGAAAGAGATGTTCAGAGGACACAGACAGGACAAGCAAAAATCCGAAGGGGATCCAAACGTATCATCATCTGAAGCCTCGACATCGGGAGAAGCAATCCCAGTGAGTGAAGTCTCGCAGGAAGACAAGAAGGCTGAAAAAGCGGGAGGTCTGAAACAAGGGTCTCCTTCTAGTGGTGAGAGCGAGTCTTCTGTGGGCTCCAGCTCAGAGTCGGGTTCAGAGTCAGACCACAACAGGAGTAATGACGGCGCTAACGGTGCAGGCCCAGACGACCGCAACCAAGTCTTCATCACCATCGAGACACCCCTCTTTGTGAGGAGCCACTACGTGTATCTGCCGAAGAAGAAGAAGACAGAAGATGCCGACAAGGAGGAGGATAAGGATGACTCTGATGCTGGTCCCAGCACGGCTGATCCTTCTGTAGGTAAGCAGGAAGATGCAGGACCCTCTAAGAGGAAGTACTCATCAGATTCTGAGTCTGAATCAGAAGGCAAGACGCCTCCATCCTACAAACGACAGAAGAGAGAATCAGATTCAGAAGAAATATCAGCTGCAGAGAGATTGCAAAGAGGTTTCAGAGCTGTTTCTGAAAATGTGGTTAAACGTAAAGATCCTGACTATGACGATAAGGAAAGAACTGTCGATCAAAAAAATGGTAGGAGTGAAACTAAGACTGAAAGCGAGAAAGAACGTATCCAAAGACCCTCTGGTTATAACGTTGATAACATGGAGGAACAGAAAGATTCATCAAAAGCGGCAACTTTGAAACGTCCCTTAGAAGATGACGACAGCAGGCAAGAATCCCCAAAGAGGAGACGACAAAGCTCTGATCCTAACGCTGGTCACCATCGGCTGAAGCTACATGTAAGGAGGGGTCTGAAACAGAAACATCCAAAAGAACTGACAAACCAATGTCTGGAGAAGATGATGACGCAAAGCCAACACCTGATCAAGCAGAGGTGGGGGACCAGGCCAGCCCTACACCACGAAGACGCAGATCTTTCACCGAGAGATACTACGAAGATGCTCCCATCCTACCTGCTGCGCCACCTGCACCTGTCCTCCCAGCTGCAACCCCCACCACTACAGCAGGTGCATCTATAGGTGCATCTGCAGGTGAGTCTACCACCGACAATGCAGCTACCGGTTCAGATACAGCAGCCACTACCGATAGCAATTCCACATCTGACAAGACACCCCCCAGGCCCCTGGGCCCGCCGTGGAACATGTACGACCCGAGAAACCCGGAGAGTTCGTCCATCCGTGGGACGAAGAAGGAGCGTTACAACCTGCGGATAGCCCAGGCGATGGTGGACAACGCCATCAACACGGTGCTGCAGGAGCTGGGCTTCTCCCCGGGGAACACGCGCAGGAAGAGGCGGCGCCGCCGGGAGAGAGAGCGGCAGCAGGCGATGGAGGAAGCCGGCGTGTCCAGCGCCATCCGGTCCCAGGGGCTGTCCATGGGGCCACACGGCGGCAGGACCACCACCACCTCCCCGGGCTGCCCCCACCACAGGCGCACGTCCGAGCTCAACGCCGGTGCCGGACCCAGCTCCGCCAGCCTTCCCGTACCGGAAAACGAGGATGAGTTTGAGAGGCTGGCAGTCTCAGAGGCAATTAGCCAGACCGGCCTGTCCAAGTCAGAAGAGTCAAAAGACGACTCTAAGGACAAAGACAGTAAATAATTACCTAGGGAATAAAGCACTATACAGCTGCACTTTCTAATATTCCTATATGTTAATGAGTCCTCACACTGACAGCATTTTTCATTGAAATACAATGTATAAAAGGATTAGAATCATGAATGACTATTATTGGAGGTTTATTGAAAGTAAATGAAAGAGAATAAACTTATGGCTCCAAACTACATTGTACTGACAGCATTACCATACTACAGACAATTTTAAAACTCTCATTGTATTATTAGTGGGCAGTTGATGACATGCATGTGTACTGTGGTAGTAAGCGATTCAAAAATGTTAGCCACCAAACCTGCCCTCTTGCATGAGATATAAATGTATTCATTATCTATTACTACTAGTTGCAGATGTAATAGAGTTCAGGGTTTGGGGACAACCTGAAGTGGTGATGGCTAACCTGGCTTTTGGCTGTCCAATTTGCAGCTTGGTTTGTAAAGTTTTTCATACAATGGATTTAGAGGCTGATCTCCAAAATAACATTTTAAGCTCTGACTTTCTAACAATTTTATATACTGTCTCACTGAGGCAGTCTAAATACTGGTATCCTCACATTGAATAAGAGATTATATTTTGCTTCAGTGTGTAATGTATGTGTTCAATTAATTGCTTTTTTTTCATGCAATTAATGTGCAGAAGATAATAGACAGTACTAGCAGTACTAAGTTTTCTTATGGAGTAATTGATTTGGAGTTTGAATTGTCAATTTTGACGGTGTATTCGAAACTATACTTTTTAGTGAGTTTGTAAATCATTTAAGCAATTCCAGTTCTGAACTTTACGATTGGTTAGGTTGTACACGTTAAATGTCTTCAAGTTCAAAGACAAATACTGGTCAGTTACTGACAGAAACACTTGATTGAATGTATTAGTACATTAGTTACATACCCAGTATATGTATCTATCTGATGTTAACAATTATGTATATCAATCAAAGATCTTGTACTTTAAAAGTTTTGTTTTATAGATCTTATAAGAAATGTAAAGATGAAAAAACCTTTGTATATATTAGGCTGAAATCATGTAAAATATTTAGGGTTTAGGTCATCCTATTGACGTAAACTCTCACGACCAGATGATGATGATTGTGTCATGTAATCAGTTGAATGTGTTGGGGAATTAGTGCCCATAGACACTGTATCTTCAAAATTAGTATGGGTTTTAAGCACTTTGGCTTTCTTTGTGCAATCTTATTTTCTGATTGCTTGAATAATATGTCATTTCTGGGTCTTAATAAGTTGCCTGCAACCTCCAGTCAACCATGAATTTTAAAAAATAAAATAATCATCCTTTGGAAACAAGCACCATCACATTTGACTAGATGACCAAGGCCTACTCTGCACTGGGAGGCAAGAGACAACTGTACTTGGTATACATGTAACTTCTATCTGTCCCGAAGGACGTTTTCCATTTATGTTTCCTTACATTGCCTCAAATGTAAACTTACCTGCTGCTGCATTAAAAAAGTTCTGATGAAACCCCAGTCCTACTGTACATGAGTGGCCATTTCTTGTAGTTAGCCGTTATGCATGGGAGAGAGTGAGTGAGCTGTTATGGGACAGAGTGAGCCATTATGGGACAGAGTGAGTGAGCTGTTATGGGACAGAGTGAGACATTATGGGACAGAGTGAGTGAGCTGTTATGGGACAGAGTGACATTATGGGACAGAGTGAGATATGGGACAGTTAGTGAGCTGTTATGGGACAGAGAGACATTATGGGACAGTGAGTGAGCTGTTATGGGACAGAGTGACATTATGGGACAGAGTGAGCTGTTATGGGACAGAATCAGATATGGGACAGTTAGTGAGCTGTTATGGGACAGAGTGAGACATTATGGGACAGTGAGTGAGCTGTTGTAGGACAGTGAGACATGGGACAGAGTAAGTGAGCTGTTATGGGACAGAGTGAGACATTATGGGACAGTGAGTGAGCTGTTATGGGACAGAGTGAGCCATTATGGGATAGAGTGAGTTAACCGTTATGGGACAGTGAGTGAGTGAGCCATTATAGGACAGTGAGCCATTATGGGATAGAGTGAGTGAGTAGGCTGTTATGGGAGAGAGAGAGTGAATGAAGTATTGGGAAAGATCTGTACGTGTGAGGTGCTTTCTACTGTTGTTAATCCATCATACCATGGAAAAGGTCTTCCAAGTTGAAACGAGATTTCATACTTCCACGTACAACATATTTGGGGTTTTGCAAAATTCAAGGTCATCCCATTTTCTGTATCCGGCCTTTTGACTTGCTGTCATTCTGTCTGTCAATCTTCCCCACACTCACATGTTGTCAACCTATGTACAGTGTCCGGACAAACACTTATCTACTCAAACCAATACTTCTGTACCCGGGAGTAATAATACTGAACAAGCTTTATTTGAGGATTTCACCTTGGTCAATATATGAAAAGCTACACTTTTGGAAGAAAAGACGTCTCCACTATCAGATAGTGTACTGTGTTACTTGAGGTACTCTCCTACCTCCAAATCATTTATAGAACTTAGGATAAAATAGTTCTACATTTGTCCATCAGTATACTGGTATATTTTTTGAAAATAATCAATGGGTATAAGTTGAACCAATTCTAAGCACTGGAGCCACTACATTCTCTCCTCAAGTTTTGCCAGCCATGTACAAAATCTAGCTTAACTATATATTATACTGAGGTCACACTTTATGAATGTGGTTAAAGATAAGAGATACAATAACATATCAAACAGAGTTGCGTAAGGTTAAGACACTTTAACCTATGTGATGATGATTAATACTCTTTCATTCTGAGAATTCTTTTGAAAAAATACTGCACCTAGGCAAAACAGTATTGATACATTTTGTACATTGCATGTCATGAATATACAACAGAAAAATATTGCTAATAGTAATATTAGGCCCAGTTCTCGAGAAATTTTTACAATCTGTTTCTTTTTTTTTATACCACTAGTCATTTGAACTGGACCTCTTGGAACGGATGAAGGCCATGCCATGGGTTCTCATGTGTGTCTTCAGAGCCGAGTCTGAATCAAACCTTTTGAAGCACACGCTACATTCGTTGTGGGGATTCGCTACTCCGTTGACGCTACTGTCTTGTTGGGAGTTTGCCTTTTCCGCATAGGCAACCATTTCTGACAGGACACTGGTCAGCTCATCCTGGTCCCGGTACTCATGTTGGACAAACAGGTGGTTTCGCAGTGCGTCCTCCGAGCGAAAGCTGGTGGAACACTCCATGCACTGTATGGAGGTGTGGTTCTGTTTGTGCTGCGGGAAGTGCTGTAGAAACTCCTCCTTCACTTCAGTGGTGAACTCGCACTTGGCGCACTGGAACCCCATCTTTGCACGTTTTGGCCTCTTTGCTGTCCCGCCTTGCTGACCCCCGTTTTTCCGACGCTTTTCGTTTCCCGTCGATACGTCTTGGTCCGGTGACACAGGCTGCTTGGGGTCAGGCATCTGTGTAAAGTCAATGTCCTCGCTAGCGATACCGTGGATGGAGACAATGTGTTTCTCCAGCATGATCCGCTTACTGTACGACATGGGTTTCTCTTTGCAATACCAGCAGCGATACACACGCTTGATCCCCTGGTGGTTGATCCGAACGTGCCTCTTCATGCTGTGGACACTTTCAAACATGCGGTTGCACATCGAACAGGGGTACTTCTTGGGCTTGCCATGTTCTTTCGTCATGTGAGAATACAGCAGGCTCGCCTTTGCAAAGGACGCTTTGCATTCGGAGCAGTTGTGGACAGTACCCTTCGTGTGGGTCTGTAGATGTTCGGCCAACAGCTCCTGACTTGCAAGCTGTCTCCCACACTCTAAACACGTGAAGACGCCTTGCCTTTCGTGAAACTTCATGTGCTTTACCAGGTTGCCTTCAGTCTTGGCGACGTAGGAGCACAAACTGCACTGGTGTTTCTTGTTGCTGCTGTCATTGTTCACTGACTTGTTGTCTCGCTGCCGACAGTCATGATCGAGCAAGTGCTGCGCCGACCCAAACTTCTGATGGCACTGGGTGCACGTGTGGGCTGTGAGGTTGACATACGAGCTGTGCGCCATTTTCTTGTGGCTCTCCATGTCTATCAGGGAGGGGAATGACGCTTTGCACAGGTCGCAAAGGACAATGTTGTCTGACATGTCGACAACGTGGCCTGTCTGCATGTGCTGCAGGAATGTTTCCCTCGGGTCGAACGACTTGTGGCACTCCAGACAGCGGAAGTGGCTGACAATGTGGTTGCTCTTGTCGTTAATGTGGGTATCTAAATGGGTGGACAGCAGGGTGGTTTGGGTGAAGACTGTGTCACACAATGGACACTTGTAGATAGATCTGTACCCGGCCACTTGGTTTCCATGTGTGTTCAGTATGTGGACCCTGATATTGGGGATGGCCTTGAATGCCATTGGGCAAATGGGGCACTTATAAAACTGCTCTGCATGCGCGCTCTGTACATGGGCTTTCAGAAGGTTAACGTGGTCGTAGACTGCTGCACAGTGTGTGCACTTGTAACCTTTTGAGCGAGCGTAATGGTGGCACGCTGTGCGGAGATGTTTTAGAAATACGCTCCGCCCACCCTTCTCCCATTTCCCACATTCCGGACACGTGTAGGGGGCTAGGTTCTTGTGAATACGCTGGTGGGCCCCCAGCATGCACTTGTTTGGGAAGAAAACTCCACACTGGGGACACAAGGAGGGAGATTTCAAGTCGGTGGTGTTCCTCTGGAAATGGATTTCCAACGAGCTGAGGCTGTTAACAATGATGCGACACTCTGTGCATGACATGGCTCCGGGCTGCGAACCCATGACCAGTTGTTGAAGGCTCGGGGAGGGCCTGGTCTGAGAGGAGGATACAGAGCTGGTGACGGTGGTCTGTACACTTTGAACGGTGGCTCTTTGAACTGTGGAGGTGCTAGCAGAGGAGACGATGGTCTGCCCTATGGAGGTGTGAACATCCGGTGGAGCGCTTGGGTTCGGCTGTCCCAGGTTCATCAACTCCTTCAGGAGCGGGGTGACGATGGCCGAAGCCAGGTTCATCTTCTTCCCCCGGTTCATGTGCAGGCGGGAGTGGGACAGCAGGGCGCACTTGTTCTGGAACAGCATGCTCTTCATGCAGATGTTGCAGTTGATGGTGATCATGATGCTCCGCCGCTGCATGTGGTGTAAGAGGCTGGTGTACAGCAGGAAGGTGTCTCCGCACTCCAAGCACTTGTGCCCGTTCTTTGGGACCGAGAGGTTGTACTTGGCCGGGACGTTCAGGTTGGGGCTGTACGTCGACACGGGGTTCGGCTTGTTGAGAATAGACGCAATGCCCAGGTTGGTCACCGTGTGCACGGTGGTCCCGCTGGGAGTGGTTCGAACTGACGCGTTCCCAGATGTCAACACTTGGGTGACCACCCTGTTGTTGAGCTGACCTGGAGACTGAACAGTTGCTGGACTAGAGACAATGGAAGTTTTTGTTGCGGTGGCTTGTGGCTGGGCCACATGCAGCTGACCCATGGCAGCAGTGGTCAGAGTCCTGACAATGGGAACAACACTGCTGCTACTGGTGGAGTTGGGAATGATGGACTGTTTCGGTACTGACTGAGCTGTCATGATGGTCCCTTGGGAAGTTCTCAGGGTGGTGATTCGGACCTTGGGAATCGAACCTTGGCCTGCCGATGCGGCCTCGCTCTCTTTCTTGTCTTTATCAGCCTGTCTCATGAGTTCTCTAAGCTGCATGGCAGCAATGGAGTTCTGGTTACCTGCAGGAACACTCTTTGCTGGCTGCTTGTCCCTTTCTGACTCATCAGTGAACTCGTCCTCAAATTCACAGTCGTCTTCAAACGTGAACTTAAAGTTCTGTTTACGAGGTCTTGTGTTGTAAGGCTTGTTAGTGCTAGTTTTGGTGTCATCAACCTGCTCCTTTGCCTTGGCAGCTGATGGCTCAGGCTTGTTGGTTGGCTTGGGGGCAATTTGCTTCACTGTTGGTGGTGTTTTGACGGTTGTCTTTTGCTCTGAGTCTGAGTTGAGAAGGTTTTTAACTTTAGCATCTCCACTAGGTTTAGCTGCGGGTTGGCTGTTGGGTACACTTTGTAGTTCTGGTGGCGACACTTTTGTTGCAGAGCTTTTTACTTCATCACATTTTGGTGGAAGCGGGTTGACTTTTTCTTCATCTCTTAGAGAGGTCACAAGTTTTTCTATCCTAGAACTGGCAGTTTCTATGCTTTTGGTAGACGTCTTTTCTTTGTCTGATGCTGGCTTTATATCTACTTTCTTCTTGGGAATGCTTGGGCTCTTCCTGGTACTAGCTACTTCTTGAGGACTTGGTGATCTATATTTCTGTTCAGATTTGAGATTATCTAAACCAGTTTCTGATTGGGTGCTTATTTTATCTAAGAATGGCTCTGATTGGTCATGCTTGATAACAGACAAGTGCTGTGATTGGTCAGGTGTTGAATCCGCGACTGGTTCTCTTTTAATGGTTACAGTGGACGAATCAGAGCCAGGTTCTGGTTTGACTGTCGGTAAATGGTAGGGTTGCTCTGATTGGTTGCTGAGGGGTTCGGCAGTTTCTTCTGATTGGTTGGTGGGTAGGTTGAAGATTGGTTCCAGTGGACTTGGCATGCGATCAGGGCTGGCATCAGGGCGGATCTCTGGAACGATGTCCCGTGTTCGCTGTAGCTGGGGCATCGGCTTGACTGGAGTGGTCAGAGTTCCTCCATCCTGGTTGTGAAAAGGGAATAATGTGATGAAAACACTATTGCAATGATTTCTTTGTTACTACAAAAGAGACCCATGATTAGACCTGAACCTGGACCTTACTTACCAGTACAGTAAAAACAACGTACATGTAGTACTACACTGTAAATCATATTTTGAAGAGCGAAATACAAGCACAGGTCTCTGTGAGTGCCACAAATTTTAAATTGACTTTAAATTCTCAGTACACTGGAATGATAAAATTATTTTCAATGCACAAGCATATGAATTTAGTTATTTTTTTTTACCTGTTGATAATAGTGTTATGACCAAGTTAGTATAATACATATAATAAGATGTCTTGTAAGTAGAAATGTCTACAATCTATTTATGCTTTGTTATGAATCCATAACAAAAGAATTGGATGTTATGGCCACTGCATAATCCAATCCACTTACAGCTAAAAAGGCACTTTGGGACATTTTTGGGACAATAGAAAAACTAATCTACATCGCAAGGTCAGCCCTTCTTTAGTTTATCAGGCACATGTCATGGCTTTTGGATCCAGGAAAGTCCCCCTGAATTTCCTGTCTACTCTGCAATTATAGTGCGCCTGGAAGTGAACATACAAGCAAAATAAAGTTGACCTAAAGTTGAAGTCATATACTTCCCAAAAATAGGTTGGGACAGTTCATCCTCACTTCGGGACAATTGAAATTTATTTCATTGGGACAGTGCTGGGACAATAGCAGGGCTCGAAATTAACGGTGTACCTACAGAATGTCAGCCCTTCTTTTGTTCACCAGGCACACATCCTGGCTTTTGGCTCCAGAAAAGTTCCCTCAAATTACCTATTTTTGTCATACAAAAGTCATACAATACTTCCGAAAAACAGGTTGGGACAGTTCATCCTCACTTCGGGATAGTTGAAATTAATATAGGGACAGTGCTGGGACAATAGTAAGATTCTAAGAAAAGTTAATTTTTCGAGGCCTGAATAGGAAGAAAACTTAATTTCGAGGCCTGGCACTACATGTATGTTCTGCCAATATGCTTGTTTAACTCTATAGTCTAAGCAAACGTCAGGAAGGCCGGACCTGGGTGAGGTTGTCCCCCCTTGACCCCTCAGCAGGAGTCTCATGGTCGGTCCCGTGCTCGAACGCGTCTTTCCCCTCCGTCATGTCAGGGATGTCAAACGCTGCCAACAGGTCGTCAAAGTCTGGGGTCTTCACGTCAGTTGCCATGGTGATGTTTTTTTTTCTGTGGAAAAAAACAGGAGCAACATTGAATAAAGCAGTGCTTCAAAAATCAAAGGCTTTAAGTAGATATAGATGGCTGTATCTTGGACCAGTTACTCAAGTAGGCTAATCCCTATTCATCCATTGACTGTCATTCATGAATGAATGAAGAATAAATGGGACTTCTTTACTAGACTTAGTACATGTTTTATGTGCTTTATGCACCCAGCCTAAAATATTGTATACGGGATTAAATTTAAAGTAATATGTAAATATAAGGCATTAGAAGGAAGTACAAATGATACATCAAGCAAGAGAACACAGGTACAAATGAACAAATACTGAAAAATGTATCTTTTTCAGTTACATATATATTCATGTATATATAAAATTACTACACATGTACATAATATACTACAATACATGTATGATGCAGTAGCTACTCTACAGCAGCCACATGTGGATACATGCAACTACTGATGGATGACAAAAGTGGTCCTCCAGGGCTCGTGACTGCGACTGATTTGGTCGCATATGCGCCCAAAATTTTGACGGTGCGACTACATTTGAAATCACGGTCGCACGGTGCGCCAATAAAAATTTTAGCCTATTCATTCCATTGTCGGCACAATCTTGTGAATTGACGATGAATTGTCGATCTCGCCATGACGCCGCAAAGAAAACACTGTCATTGGTAGAAAATCTGACACCCCACTGGCGTTTCACAGCAAAATTTTCATGTGAACAACTCCGAATGCCTTTGTTTACATCGTGAAAGCTCACCGATACTCCCGCCGGCCGCCCGCACCCGACCGCATGGTCGCGGCATGACGCTAGTTTTCGGCAGCTCGGCGGAAAAATAATCCATCCCCAGAAGAAATGTTACGCATGAAAATAACAACTACAACTTGCTTTCCTCGTTATATGAGTTTTTGAGGCCGTAAAATGTTTAAAACCGTTGAAATTTGCTCGAAAAAACGGCTCGAAAATCTACGGCGAGACTGACAAAATGGGCCTGACAAAATGGCCGACGGTGTTTCACAACAACAGTGGTCAAAGGTCAAGATAGCATCCAAATGTACAAGATACATGTACTAAGTACATATTACAAGGTGCTAAAACGAAACTTTAAACGCATAGAAAACTATTTTTTCGGCTACAACTGAAATAAAAATTCACTTATATTTTATAAGGTTAATT